TGTCATCACATCTGCACTTTGCCTTGCTCTCCTCCATTTCGAGTGTCTGATCCTGCTCTTGTCTCCTGTCCTATTCTGCCTCGGGCCCATAGGCCCTTTTCTTATCTCTCTGGCCGACCGATTTCGCTCGGTTTCAGCCCCAGCGTACTTTTACTGTATGAGTCCCTTCTTTCTGTTGCCTTCAAATCGATCTCGTGTCCAGTCCCGTTGATAAACTTCAGGAAATCTTCCAACTTTTCTTTTCCATGCGGCTATATTGCAAAGTAGTTATTATGTCGTACCTTGATGAGTATTTTGCAATATGGTCGCATGGAAAAGAAACGTTGAAGAATATCCTGAAGTTTATGAACGGGATTTACGAAAGAATTTAATTCACAATGGATGTAGACGAAGAGGGGCGTTTGACCTTTTCAAATGTGGATGTTATTTGCTCTACTGGGAAACTCAGATGAAGTTGTTCCGAAAGAAGTAATATCCAGGAATAATACTCTATTTCAAGTGTCATCGCAACAACAGAATGAAGATAGACATACTGAGGAGCATGATCATCTTAAGCCTACAATTAACGAACGTGTAATTCTGGGATGAAGAATTGAAATGTGGAATATAGACATGTCAGAAGTTATGATAGGGCGAGGGCGAGACCAGAGGGTAGTAAATGGATGGAGGGACCAGGACAGAACGAGGAGTGATAGCATAACCGTCTCAACAGAAGGTTGGTCAAGGGATCGACTTCACTTGTCTCTGACACGTAGCTTAGTTGCTGAAATTGGCAAGACTCACTGATGATGCCGACTACGATTCCGTCGAAACGTCTGGAAATATACCAAGTCCACGGTCAGACTTGAAATTATCATGCATACTATGGACTCCGGACAAGGTGTGTTCCTCCAGGAATTCCAGCTAATTTGACCAAGTTGCGAAATAAGGGTCAACCAACTTCTATTCAATGAAAGGCGACCACGACCATACAAATGGCCAAACCATCCTTGTCGTCTTATTTTCGATTAAATATATATATATATTTTTTAATTATTTTACCTATCAAATTCAATTTGCCTATTTTGTTACATTTAAGGCTAATAAATTATTTATCGATGAATTATTTTTCTATTTATTTTTTCGCACTTGCAGCCTTGATCTTCTAGATCGCTTAGAGCCGCCCACCGCCACTATAGGTTATTGCTTGTCTCTAGCCTTACTTTCAATTTTTGAAGTTGTCACTTCGCTTCGGACCATTCTTAGAGAGTCTTTGTCTAAAGAAGGTTCCTCTCTTGTGAAAATTGAATCTTCGCCTTCCGATTCTAAAAATCGCTCTTTGGAATTCACAAATTTGGACAAAGTCGCCCTTTCCTCGATACCCGCCTATATGGAATCCTCTAATCCGGCTCATTCTGGAGGCGGGTGCTCTGCCGTCAAAGATGTGACTACTCTCATCGAACTTTCCTGGTCTGGTCTGCTCTCTGCCATTTCTTTTCTCATTGAAGCAAGGTGAGTTTCTCCTCATGTCTTCTTCCACATTTTATGATTTAGACTTTAATGCTTTCCTTATTGGCCTTTAAATTTGGTTAATGGACGAACAGCACCTTATTCTAAGGTATGAAGACCAAGATGGTGTGGCCTTTTGTGTGGTCGCACCTTATTCTGTTTTAGGTACATAGTTCTTCAGTATAAAGTGTCATGGCTTCATATGATTGCATGTTCTAAGGACTAACTTAATTCATATACGAATAAAAAGCGAATTCTAATGGGTCTACCCTACATAACATTGTTATGGAGACTTTATTTCGTATGGAAGTGCATAATAAAGAGCTTCGTACGTCGATCTCACCAAAAGACGATGGCTTATTCCCATTGTATTGCGGCCGTTTGCTTCTGATACAATGTTCAGGTCGACGCAATCTACGAGATATATTCCCTTATTTCGAGTGAAGACGGGCTGACTCTTTATTCTTAATATGACGAACATTATAGGAGTTTTACTCATTCTCGCAAGTCTCACGTTAATACTAGGTCAAGAAGACTGATTGGCTCTGTCATACATTATTTATATATATATAAACTCATATATATATATATATATATA